GTTAAAAGGTTACGACATGCATAGGAAAAATGTTGTGAATCTTTTGTTTTGAGCCGCAAAAAAATGATCTTTCGCAAGGAATATTTGTTGAATTAATTGGCCCAACTCATTGATGACTCACAGTTTTAATTATTGACGTTATCATAATCATTACAAACTCTTTAAAAGTGATTGGTGCATTAATTGCTTCATTTTTCACAAATTTTTCTGTAGAGTTTTAATCGGAAAGTGTAATCAGACAGTTGGTTGTAATACGACGCCTGTAATGGAACAGTTAAAGCAGCCAATCATACTAAGTCCACTCATAAAAACCCACCAACCACAGAATTAATTACAATAACTATAGCAACAACCCCTTCCCTACAAAACTTGGGAATTTCCTAAAGGAAGGAATTCTTTAGCTTAGACTATGTCTCTAGAGATAGAGGAGATACTTTTTCCATTGTCAATTTGACTTATTTCCGCGGTTTTTTTCTTCGGAAATTGTAACGGATATTATTAATTGGTAATTAATTGGAATTCTTTAGCTTAGACTATGTCTCTAGAGATACCGGAGATACTTTTTCCATTGTCAATTTTGACTTATTTCCGCGGTTTTTTTCTTCGGAAATTGTAACGGATATGATTAATTGGTAACAGGACTTCGTGTCTTCCAATTCTGTCTTTAATCATACTCATGATGAACAAATCGGACTCCCACTCAGCGGTCGTCCGATTTTGTTAATCACTCACACGATAACAGACCAAAGTGGACTCCACTCGGTCCTCTTACCATTACGAATAATATTTTGGTTTAGTTTATATCCATACCACTTCTCTATCTCTCTAGTGAGTCGTATGTCCACTAAAACACCTTTCTTTAGTGATGGTATTGGAGATGTATCAACAACTCCATCCACGTAATCAGACAGGTGCTTCACAAACTCAAGGGTTTCCTGTAATATAAACAATATGCATTAAAAAAATTTGAGCCTCCACAATACCAGTCAGCGGTGACTGCTCAAACTCTTGCCCTCCTTTCTCCCCTCTCGTCAGGCTCCGCCGTCGCAATTTTTTGCGAACGTTGTGGTATTGAAAAGGGTTGTCAACAATCTGAAATATTTTGTATACCCCTAAGGGAGATTGTGACCAGTCAGCTGTTAGCTATGTGACTCAAGTCAACTTTCCTGACTTTTCCTATCAAAAGACTGCACGACAATCAAAAATGATTGAACCAACAAATGACTGTGAAGGTCACTAAGCGGTTTGAAAAATATAATATTAAGTTTAATCGTCCATTTGTCATGTTTTAGACGGCTAATTCATTAGCTCCTCAACAACCGTTTACTTCTATAAAATCAAACTATAAACGAGAGCGGAAACAGATTAAGAAAGTGTAAAGCACAAGATCGCCGATGGTACTTGACCAAGAATTGTACTTCAAAGTAATTAGTTTTACCTTCAGTTCAGTGGAAAGTTGGAGGTAGCGCCAGAGTTTCCACTCTAGCAAAAAACATCGCACTGTTTCATTATTCGGTCTCGAGGAAATTAAAATTTCTTGGGCATTCCAAATGTTTTTTAAAACAACTTTCAAATCATCCAGATATTTTTACTAAGGAATCAAACAAGCTTACCGGCATGTTCTCAAACATGTATGGATCATTAAAACAACTGGAACTGAGAAAATAACTAAAAGAGAAGAGAAAAGAAAGAGAAACAAAATTCGAACATCATGTCATACAAAAATCATTACGATCTGCAATAAAACTTATTCATTCCAAATTATTCTCCCTTACACATGGATTCCCTGCAAAATTTCTCTTCCCGATTATTAACGAGGAAGCAACTGTATCTTTACCAGTTAAGAAAGATAGCTTACTAAACTACATTCGATTCCACTGGATGATCTTTATCCAATCTCAAAACGTTATAAGAACTAACGACGTCACCTTGTCGTCAGATAATTGCTGGTACGCAGAATTCTTCTCAAAAAATTTTTTATGAATTATTTATTATTAGATTAATCTCCTCGCTTTAATGCAAAAGGATCCAATCCGAATCTTCAAATGTAAAGAACAAATATCGTGCAACACACTTACTTTGAGCGAGAAAGCGTCGCAGGAAAAGACGTGTTGCTCAGAAAAGCGATTGGTTTGTCCTCGATAATCGAGCCAACATCCAAGTATTTCACCAAATCATAGCGGTGATAGAGATCAGGCTGAGAGTACGGTTTGTGACTGACTATTTCCTAAAGAAGGAAAGAGATCAAGAAATTGATTAGATGTTTTGCTGGTAAATTCGGCTCACACATGCAAATAGCTGACTAACGCAACTCTCCCGACTTGAAACGGCAAAAAAAAAAACGTCTGAGAGGTTTTGTTACTCACTTAAGACCTAACACCTCACCTTGAACTCTCGGCATGTTCTTTCAAAGAATACAACTGGTGAAATATTTCAGGGACGATGGGGTAAGCATTAATGAGCACAATAGATCGATTGAAAATGCCGCCCCTTTATTTTGAGACGTGTGGCCTTCTTATGGTTGAGGAAAGGTGTGTGTATGTTTTTCCTTATCATGTTATTAGTTCCAACGGAGATGAGAAATTTTCATATTTTTTATCCAAGTTATCTAAGTTCTCTAAAAACGTATACCTCTTTCTCAAAGGCCTAATTCATTGTCACATGTAATTCAATCCGAGCGAATTGACAGTTTTGAAGAGCTGAACTGATTAATTTGGCGTCAACCCAATGTAACTGTGTACTGCAAGACGTTAATTTAAGTAAACTTTCCTGTCAAAGCTGATAAAAAAATACATATGTAACCTTTGTGTCTAATTCGCTTGACGCTACAACTATGCACACAGCAAAGTTTGTGTTGTTGACAGGTTTCCACGAATAAGTGAAATTAGCCGTCACACCACGATAACCTGAAAAAGAAATAAATATAAAATGTTCATTTGAAAATAACACCTGAAAAGAGGGTGTGAAGAAGAAGGTAAAAAGATCTGCATTAGACGCTAGAAAAGAGCCTGCTATCACGAGTAAGTGATAGCGGTGTTACTAAGAAAATTCGACAAATGCTTCAACCCTTTTAGCCCCAAGTATCAGTATTCATATTCTCCATACTGTTCTCTATACATTTCCTGAGGTGCTGACGAGAAGAATTTTTCTAATAGTCAAGAGCTTCTTTAGTTGGTAGTCATTTCCTTTATCCTCATGACCTTAATATGTGATTCAGGTGTGATATTGTAGGGAGAAATTAGATGTTAGTCACTCTTAGGGATCAAAGGGTTAACAGTTTTTACAATTTTCAAGTGAATGTTGGAATTAACCTGGGACTGGATCAGTTTTTCTATTCTACGCTCAAATTTTTCTTTGCATTCATTAGCCATTATTATTCAGTTCTAGTATTATGAATCTCGATAGTAAGGATTCTGCTAAATAATCTTGTTGTCGCTTTGGAGGACTCATTCCAGGTGCCATTACTAATACCATTGCCGTACCATTAAAATTCGGGTCTCCCCGCGATAACACCCTCTCAGATCTTAAAGTCTTGCTGCCGGTTTCTCTCCTCATCATGGAAGCAAGGATTTCGGAAAAGCCTATAACACAAGTAATAAATATGAAAGCCAAAGGCGTAAGATGACGAACCATGCAGGTGAGAGAACATGTCGCAGCATAGCGAGATTTCAGTGTCAGTCTCGCGCTGTCCCAGTAACATCTGTTTGAAGTATTGATAGAGCTCACACATCTACACATTACTCAAGGATGGGAATAATTTAGTGTTGCAGATAGGGAAAATAAGAATACAGTCGAGGTTCTCCAGATTTGACGGTATCAAAATCTATGGAAATCGTCACGCGTTCTGCCCGCTCCAATCTCTCTTTCCTTCCGCCTCCCCCCCTGTGTAGGGTTCTCATAACACTCGTAAGGACTAAACATGGCTAAGAATCATCTCTTACCAGGACTAGTTTCCAGGTCACTGATAATTATCACCACCGGCTCTTCCTGAATTTCCTCAGGTTCGGGAAGTTGGGGATGAACCAGAGCTCGGCCATTCTCGGTTTCGATAACGAAGGTGTACGACAATTCACCGGGACCAAACGACTGTAATAAAAGTTTGATAAATGAAGCTGAAACTTTTGTGAAAGAATAGTTAAAATGTAGCGCATAAAATTCTGAAGGAAAATAGTGCTTGCTCACCACAGTGTTTTGAAGGAGCTCACTCAAAGCTATGTCGATTCCCACAACACCAATTAAAGACTGGAAAGAGAACGGATAAATAAAACGAACATGAAACGAGTATAGAGTATATTCCACAAGATAACATGTCACTAGCTATAGCTTTTCTGATATTGTTTTACTAAGCCGACATGATTCTTTTGACCAAGCATTTGTGCTAAAAATTAATGCAAATTCATTGTTCTCTTAGACCAAATATTCAAACTCACATGTTAATCTGTTGGCATTGTTTTTAACACCCACATCCTATTCAAGATTCTGTTCTGCAAGATGCTTGCTTTTGTAACACAGTTTTCTGAATATCTCTGACTTGGGCGTGTTTTAACCCTTCACTGGCTAAGAGGTTTTCTGCCGAATTTAAACAGTGATGAGACATACCTCGTCCTTGCTGTAACACGGAACTCCAAGTGTCACGTACATTCCTAATCTCTCAGCAAACTGAGGAGACGACAGCTGGAAGAACAATGTTCACAAAACATTTTACTTGTCAATGAAATGAAGACGTCGAAAGCGTTAAGAAGCAAATGACTATTTAACGAAATACATGCGTTCAATATTAGGTGGCACCGGTTATTTCTCATGTTTTCCTTTACATTTTTGCGCGGGAAATCTGCGCGCGGCTGGCAAAAATTGATCCATTCACGCATGCCCAATGTTGTTCGCTGTTTTGTACCATAGACAGCTACCTGCAAACTGACACTCTGACGCTAGAAGATCTGTGCATTTTCTAAAAAAATAAATGACACTCTTTGATTTGTCTTTACTTACTCTCGGTCCTTCGTCGCTTTTCTTACTGCTGGGAATATTCCTGTAAAAGCGACCCATAGAGAAGGCCAGCTTTCGATAATCTGTGATACTCTAGAAAGAGGCACAATATATAGAGGCCTGAATAAAAAGTCATCCACTTGATGCTAAAGCTTTGATTCATTAACGATACACATGACAATTTGGTTTTTGTTTTGTTATAGTACTTATTTTCTGGAAACTTAAACTTTTAGCTGCATGAAACTCTGTAAGATCCACTAAGTGACTACTTGGTGCTGTTTAAATTTCCAGTTTTTGGTAATATTTGGTGGTTTTTACAATCACGTCTTCTGGCTGACGGCAGTACAACTGATTATACCTACGTTAAAGCTTTAAAAACTACCCCAAAACAACTTACTTCATATTTTCCATTAGTTGTTCGGGCCATTTGCTTAAGTCTGTTTACAGAGTGTTCGTCCATCGCCGAGATGTTATTTGATGTTCCGCCTAGTAAACTGTAAGTATAAACACTAATTGTCGTGTTACTCTCCGAAAGAAGGGCACTGATGTCTTCTGTAGACACGTCTGTACTTCCGGCTAGAAAAATCAACTGTTGAAATAATTCAAATTGAGAATTAAATTGAATGCATGGCTCAGTAAGGATTCATTTTGCATCAAAGGAAAGGAGAACAAAAGTTAACTAATTGGACCAAGCGGTAAAAGTTTCCACCGGATGGACATACTCGATAATCAGCTAATTGTGGAATGGGAAGTGCTCGAAAGTGCTTGGTGAAATGAGACCCAGTTCTGCGTAACTTACGTGAGTGTTACGGTTGTTCTTCATGTTCGTGAGCAGTTTTAAGGCCATTGAAATCGCATTGTAATAATTAGACGTCATGGTGGAGGCAAGAGGAACATCCTCAACAAATCTAGAATACGGATGTAAAAGAAATGAAGATAAAAGATGAGTGACTTCAGCTTGGAACCTAGTAATTTACTGCAAGCATAGGGGTTGAAATGTCATAGGCCGCGAAGTTTTTAAAAGTTTAAGAGATAAATGTGGAAAAATAAAAGATAAATTGGATTTTGGGAGAGGCTAATTCAAAGGATGGCTCTTCATCCAGCCTTTCAGGTAGGATTTTAATTCAACGTTTTGATTTTGTAGGTGTGGACAAATAGAAAAGCTGAAGGAGAACTCAGTGAAGAAAACTTATAGACTTAACATGTTCTGTAGCGTATATCAATTAGGGAATTAAGGGGTGATCCGATACCAAATTCTACAAAATAATATCATACAAATGGTATAGAAGACATTAAAAAGAAAAGCTAATAATGAAAAGGTTAACGTGCTCAGGTCACAGAAGTGATGAACAATTTTCAATTAGCATCAATATACTGTTCACAATGACTACCTTTTCAAGTCCAGAAGATTTTGGCCATTGGCTTGCACGAGCTGAGTGTTAAAACAGCTGTTGTATGTATTATCTGAATCTCCGCTGTGCGTCATACCCGGGAGAAGCGCTGACTCCGCAAAGGCGATCACCTGATGATGAAGTTGGAATTTGCCTTTCAATTTCGTAGAGGGTCCTATATATTCTTCCACTGCACAAATCTAGTTTAAGAATCTGTTTTATTTCAGAACGCTATATTCTACGATGCAGGCGCAGAGCAGGGATGGGGGGCAGTGCGAAAGAAGGCGCGAAAACAGAACGTATTGAGAAAGACAGAAATGTTGTTTACTAAGTTGTGCAAAAACTTACATTTACAAAATCTGTTGGCAGCAACCCCTTTAGCATCGGCGTAATGGCGGTCCTGGCGAATATGATTTTGTTTTCTTCTTTCATGGAATAGCTGATGTCAAACAGTATGACAACATTCTTTGGTCGTAGAATAGCCGCAATGTACCATGGTTGAAGCCGCTCGTCTCTGGTCCCTGACCATTATAGAGAGAAATTTTAAATTTACATCGTCTTGCAGAGTGAAATTTAGCCTTCAGTAATGCTTCCATCTTAAATCCCCTACTTTACACAACACAAAAAATTTAAACTTACCACACTTGGACGAGCTGACTAACGCGGCGGGAAATTTACGGAAAAATCCTGTTGCATCGTCAGCGAAATATTGCCACTTGTGTTGACCGCGAGGATTAAAATTCTGAAAGGCAATAACAGGCTGATAACTTAAAGAGACTTCAAATTTGACTCTAGATGCCAAGAGACGGATCCACCCCTTTGTGAAGCAACTGAATTCAATCCACTCAAAAAAGTGAGGCATCGACCAGGTTCGAATCTCTTTCTCCCAGTTACCAATGGGGCGCTACCCAGAACATAGCAATAAAATCGATTTGATAATAAGTTCATTTACATGTGCGCAACTAGTTCATGAAAACAAAGAACTACCACAATTTGCCCCGCTTCTAACTTGCTTCGTCGATTATTTGTTAGGAAGTCTCTTGGGATACAGAACCCCGTCAAAAATTTAGGCAAAATTTCCAATTCCTTAAATCACAATTACATGGAGATCATCTCGTGACATTCTTAAGCAATACTTAAACAATGTGCTCGCTTTCAAATATCACTGTTTGACGGGTTGAACGGCGTATTCCACTGTAAATTTGCTCAAAATAGAGTTGTAGTACCTTCTGCGACTTGGAATGCACATTTTCCATCATTTCCTTCTCCAGCGGAATAGTCCAGTCGTAAGCCGAAACAAGTTCATCAGGCATCTGAAACAGGATAAACTAGTTAGCAATAGTTACAAATGCTGGCTTCAAAGATGAGGAAATCCATACCTCTTTTATTTCGCTTGGCCAAGACCAGCAGCTCTGCAAAACAAGAAAAAGGAAGAAGAAATTATCACAACAAAAAGAAGAAGGTTCGGTTTTCTGTGAAGAACAAGACTGATAGCTAGCTAAAAGTAATAGTATTATGACTAGACTGCCTCTGTAAATCGGCATTTCACGCACAGCCACATGCAATAAGCGACATCTTACAAAGGAGACAGCAATAGCGAAAAAAAAAGTTCACTAGTAAAGTAGAAGGGCGGTAAGAGCCAAATGGTACATTGTCAGCTCTACCTAGGTTTAGTTATGAATCTTGAGAAAACTATTACAAACTCGTATGTACGAATGTGGGTACTTTTTGTGCCAATCGTAATCCCCAAAACAACATCGGCAGAATATGATGACTAGATCCTTTAAAAACGGGTCCTCTCATTAGAGTGCTTTTCGATTGAGTGTCGTGAAACCAAAGCCAAAGAATTACAACGGCCAATCAGAAGAAAGGAAAATGATTGGTTCTAGTTTTGCATCCGATTGGTTGAGAGAATGGCGCGAGTTTTTACTGGACCAATCACAGAGCGAAGTAAAGCAAACCGATGCAATCTCGGATTACTGTCGACATTCAATTGACAACTGCTTAAAATCTGAAAAATTAACCAATATTTACCGAGTTATGGTCAACCCATCTCTGAAACTTGGTAGAGTATTTCGTATTTCCATCGTAGCGGCAGCACTGTTTAGGAGCAATTTCTTTGAGATTGGTTATCCTTGGTCTTTTAGCGCTCTTGTATTCTTCATATTCCTTTTCAATCACATTCTTAAGTTTGTTTCCGAGACGCCTCTTCATTTCAATCTGGCCACTGATAAACATCGCTAACTTGTCCACCAAATCAGAAGGATTCAACCTTATGTTCTTCTTCACTAGAAAAAGGAAAAAAAAACGGGGGTAGTGGGTTAATACCGGCAAGTTCCGTAGGGCATTTGCTAATCAACCAAATTCTTCAGTTCAACTCTTTGAAATGCAAATGAACTAGAATTCTTTGCTTTCTTTGAACCATATTGGGGAATTTCCTGACCAAACAAGGAGATTGCTTCCTCTCCAGGGATCAATGAAAAGATATGAAAATCAGAAACACGAGTAATCGATTTAAAAACAAAATTGTTGAGACAACTTTTCAAGGGAAAATCTTTTCTGGTATAAGCGATTTATTGTGAGCTTTTTGCCCTTTATTTGGTACATTCGATTTTTCTCGAAAAATATTACCGAAACGTTAATGTAAACTGTACTGTAGCCTGCGAGCAAGCTCTAAAGCGCTGCAGGACAAACGTTTCTCCGCTAGCGGGGAGATTTGAGACGAGTCGGGGAGAGGTTTGTCATGGGTTTGGCATCATTATAAAATTTCCTCCCTTGTCATACTAAACAAGGTCACTCACTTGAGTTATCGTAAATGTTCTTCATCTCGTTGACACACAACATATCAACCATGAGATTCTCCGCTGTAACAGAAATCTTTTCTGCAGAACTGATGACGTCTACGCTTGAGATGTCGTTCTTCACTAAGCAAGTGCAGTTGGGATCAGCATTATTCTTCCCGGAGAGCACAGGTGCTTTGGTCATGAGCTTGTTCTGGTAAATTTTGAATTTAGCCGTGGAGGCATCAAAATCAAACACATGCCAGTAACGGGAACAGTTGGTGCTGTCGTATCCAAATCTATCTGCAATGTTTCAAAACAGTTAAGTTAGATATCCACAAAATATTACGTTACTCCATTAGGTCAGTTAAGTGTTTGTGGGAGATCTTTGTTCAAGAGATGATTATCATACATCCTTTTCCTGCGATGTGGCACCGTGGAACTGTCACTCGACGATAACCGAACAAGACTTTTGGCAAAGGGCAAACAAATGACCCACAATGACTCAACCTTCATCACAAACTAAAGCTACACCTGCCCAGCTTTAATACCTTCACTGCATTCCGGTTGTTGAATATTGTACAACAGACCACCTGTGGAAGCCTGGTATATCTTGACATTGGCTGATATCTTATCCCAGCAGACACCCACAGAATAAATATGTACATAGTAAGCAAATGTCTCAGACTGTAACCCTCTCATTGTTATGGTCTCCGGTCCATACATGTCTGTAGCATCCACGTCAAGATCGATTGTCTGGGAGCCTTGTTGACATCTTTGGCCATCAAAGAAAACCTACATACAAAAAAGGATTTCAGTAGAGGTACTTTTTTCACAAAGGATGGCGATATAGCCCTCATTTTAAGCAATTTTTTAATGGACTGTCAAAAGACACTTGTCCACCAAAGTTGAGACCAAAGTTATCACAACAGCTAGCCAATCATAACAAAGGAAAACAACACTAACCGATGAGAACTCATAATAAAACACCGGAAACGCAGGTAACTAGGCCACCATTGGTATTCGTTTTACGTCTCATTGGTTGAGGGAATGGCTCGAGTTTTGTGAACACGTGAAAGAGCGAGGTAAAGTAATTCCGAATTAATATCGTTACTCGATTGAAAATTGCTTTATAGCTGTTTGTTTAGTTACAGGACTAATTATAATGCTCAATAAGCTAAACTCTTGATTACGATCTATCAAGAATTATGTGACGAGCTGATTTAAACATGGTAATTTAGTATTATCAACTGAGTTGATAACGTAAACTGGCCGCCGTAGAGAGTTTCAAAGCTGACGTTTCGAGCGTTAGCTCTTTGTCAAAGCGATTGGAGGAATTGTGGGTTGTGTGTGTGTTTATATGCAGAAAATGGAGCTACGTTACTGGTGGGAATATAGTGACGAGAAAACAAGAATTTCATTAGTTAAATGAAATGCGCTTGTTGATCCCGTGGGGATTAAGAGTGCCGATTTCAAAGATAAATTTTTTTTCTAGAGTTTTAAGGCTTTCTGAACCGCCTAGAAGTAAGGAAAGGCCACAAATGGCCATATTCAGCTAAGAATGATTAGGGAGATTAAAGTGTCTAACGACTGGTTTGTGGTTTTAATGCGTCCTTGTCATTTCTTTCTACGTCGCGAAGGAGTTCTTGGAAACGGTCACCTAGTTGTCACCCTGTTTCACCAATATATAACTTTTTGCAATAAGTGCACGTTGGCGGAAGTGCACGTGAAGTGGTCAGTGATCTTAATGGATTTCTTGGGTCCCGACATTTTCTCTACGTTTTGAATGAAAGGACAAGTTTCGCATCTTGAGCGAGCACATTTGAAAGTTCCAATTGGTCATTGGTTTGAAATGAACTTCTGACCAAAAAGCTGCCAATTTTTTTGTCGCGTTTGAATGAAATTAGTGGAAGTTGCGAAAAGATAGTATTAGATTCTGAATCGTTTTGAAGTAATTTAAAGTTTTTTAGAACGATAGGTTTGACAACGTGGTTGTGAGGGTAAAATGTGAGAGTGAATGGAATGAGATCGTTATTTTCTGAGCTGTTTGTAGTGCTGTCGATCAATTTGTTGGGCGCGGTGGTGGCCTGCTTGAACGACAGAAACAGGATAGCCACGTTTATCGAAAAACTGGCACATTGCCGGGTGTTCAATAAAACCTATGAAAAGATTGGCGTAGCTGGGTCCCATTTTGGTACCCATGGCTACGCCATTAGTTTGTTTGTAGTAGTTTCCACGAATGAGTAGCAGTCGAGTGGTAGTTCAAGTTCGCCTTGATGGAGTAGTGTTTCAGAGCTAGGTTCAACAAATTGATCAACAGTCAGCACTACAAACTGCTTAGAAGGAAGCACTATTCACTTAAAAAGAGGGAGAGTGCTGGTCACATAAGCAATTAATACATGGCCGTGCTCTTAACGAGATCTCTGTACCTCAGTTGCTACAGTATATTCTTCCTTTACTCACCATTCCAGATTTGCATTCCGATTCTCGAGGCCATGGGGTAATGACGTAAGAATCTAAATCCTTGGGGACACGCCCCCAAGTGAGGACAATACGGTACATGTCATCGCTTCCCCGGAGGGAGAGACGCGGAGATATCACCATATCTTGGTTAATCATGGCGTGTTTTTCAATGTGGGATGCGATCGTAAGGTCTTCGTTTAACGTATAGTAACCAATTCGAGACGTTCGAATCTGGAAGACAAGTTATCACATTTCAGCACAGTATAAAACGCTTTAGAGCAGATACTTAAATCACGAACAGTCTGTTTTCCAAAATTGTTCGCGTCTGATAATAACCTTGATCATAACAAACTCCTCACGATACAACACCTCTATAAGCGGAAGATGAGGTGTTTTTGCCTATCTATTGAGGTGAAGACCATCTTTAGTGGACACAAGACTGAATTTACCAGAAATAACTCTTAATTTATGATTTTGCAACTCTCAAGATATGATTGTATGGCTATGATATGATCCGTGATCTAAACCCTTACCACGGACCCTTTTTGATAAAAAAAAGAGAAGAATAAGCCTCATTCGTATTCTTGAGGATCCTCATAATTCTTCTATAAAACATGAGACATAAGACAAGCGATCTGGTAAAACACTGAGCTGCGTTCACTCACATTTCTCTCGAATGACCCGCCCACGCATATCACCCGTTAAAACCCTCTTACATTCATACATAATTTGGTTTCATAAAGTGAGACGATTATGTACGTTGGCCATTGTAAAAAGTTTCTAAAAACTAGCAACTCTTTACGGAGGCTAAGTTACACTGATCAGCTCATCTGATAAATATAAAATCAAATTATTTTGTTATACTCCCCTACCGACTCAGCACCACAATTTCTTTAGAAACTTGCCCCTTTTCTCGTTTGCCGGTTTATTTTAAGTCAGTTCCATATCTGAATTTAAAATGGATGGAGTATTCTCTTCGAGATTCTTTATGAGAATCATTATGGGGACTACCTTCGGAGAAATTCATAAAAGAAGGACTGGAAGCAGTTACTCAGGCAACGTCCCCGTGTAGGATATATATTCTGTACATACTTGATAGTATCCTGGCTGAACATCTTCAATTATAGCCACACCATAAGAGTTAGTGAGACTTTTTGCTGTTCTAAGAAAGATCCCAGCATTAGATAATAACATGCACTCTGCGCCGGGTACTGCAGCCCACTCCACGCCACGAGTTGCATCTTTGACCTGTTGATTGGATGACACATTTAATATAGGCAGCTAAGAAAAGAATAGCAGGAAATGGGTAGGATTGGTTGAATGGAAAAGGATAGGAAAGGATGGGAAATGAGAGGATACAGAAGAAAATGCGAAGACTAAAGAATTGTGAAAGATGGCTTTGTTTTATGCTACTGCACCGTTTTCGAGTAATAAATGCAGTGTTTACTATCGAAGGAAATTTAATTTGTATATACCAAGCAAGAAATTGTTTACGAATGTTTTAAACAACTAATGTACATTGAAACCGGAGTTATCTGCCAATGACTACTTTAAATGTTAAATAACTTTTGGACTCTTCCGTTTTCGCTGTAAACTTCTTAGTTTATTTGTTTAGTCATTGGTAGTATTCAAACAGGCTGGCCCACTTCAATTTAAAGCTGCCGTTTTTAACTGGGGCCAATGGAAACAATCTTAATATAGCAAAATATCTATATAAAATACACAGACCAACCCTTAACAAATATTTTTTTCAACTTGTTAATTTTGTGATCACCAAGATTCTTAGTAAATAATATTCATACTTGTGTTTTGGCTCTCATAATGCGCTCGAAAGATCAAGAAAACTCAGCGCACAGAGTGCCTTGCCTGATAGAGTTGTTTGCTTGTCTGGGAATGCTAGTTTTTCGACTTCCACTCTGAAAAATTATCGAAATTAAAGCATACTTTTACACAGTTCGACACGAAATCTTTGTACAAGCAAGATGTCATAGAAGAAAGATGTTCCTAACTGCATGTGTAAAAGTTTTAACGGCGCTTTTGACAAAAGACCGCAGAATGAAAAGAGAAATTGTAGATTCAGCGGTGGCGTATTCGTGGGTACCGCAAACATTTTATCTCGTCAGGCTTTTAGCGACGAGTCTCACAGTTTCACTCACAATGAATTTCATGTTCGGTCCCAAGGTCCCCAATAAATGACAAAGCAGATCGAGATCCAAGGTTCAAAGGTAGTTACTGTGGCTTAGGGTGACATTCCTGAGCGACAAAAGCCTGTGTATGATCGCTGTCATTATGATCATAATAAATTTGTGATAGCCAAAAAGAACGTTAAGGAGAGTATCTAAATTCTTGCGCAACATCTTCCTGTCATTAGCAGTGTCTTGAAACAATCTGAGTAAAGCGAAGATGATAGTTAAGAGTTGTACCGATAAAATGACTTAGCCTTGGTGCCGCAATTTCAAACAGTGGTCTCGGCATTTCGAAAGTCACGAATTTTACCATTCGCCTTCCCTCAGATTTGTTACGATGTTTTCTTTCAAGTGTCCAGTCAAATTATCCGATTAAACACAGACCATTATTTTTCACGCGTTCGGTGTCGTCTGAATGTAAACAGAAGTACTCTCAACATCAAATAAAACAGTGAAAGCAGCTGGTACACCAAAATCGACAAACCTAGTACCGATAACAACAACTACGAGAAACATCAACACGTCGAAAACAACGATGGACAACGGACTCTATGCGAGAGGAACGTGACAGAGTTTTACCTGGTCGAAGTACCGGGCTTACTTACCTGGCATTTGATAGAGATACTACACACTTCACAGAAATTGATCGCAGCTGTCAAAATCCCGACAACTATTATGAACGTAGAACACATTTCTTCCCTTCTCGAAGAGGCACGAAGGAATTTAGTCGCTACGGCTACGGCATAAGCGGCAAATATGCCTTAGTACTTTTTTCCAACGCACGTAGCAGACTATTTTGCATTTTCATTACACTGATAACAATAGACTTCTGTATTTGACGAGGTGCGGAGTGTCCTTTGGTCTAACAATAAAGATCACAATTTGCATAAAGTGAATTGACACTTCATAATTCTTTTGATTGTTTGGAGTAACCGAAAATCGAAGAGGAAGTTATAGAGACCTTAGGAATGCTCTTAGGAAAGGGTTGGGAGCACGGAAATGGCAACAGTTCTTAAAAGTAAGGTATAAAGATTAGGCTGGCGTTAGCTTTCTTAGGAAACATTATCAACTATTTATACAGTAAAGGAAAGATAATTTTTTTTTAAGACAGGCGCGGTGAAATTGTATTTCTCTTAGCTGGACAATAGTAAGACAAAGACACAATTTTTGGAATTCCATAGATTTTTACATAAACGGCAATGTGTAGTAAGATAAATTTTTAAATTTTTTTTTAAAATGCTTTATGCAAGAATCTGTAGTTTTATAAAGTGAATATTTCAATTAGCAAATGCATGGAGAGAGCACTAATCTGAAAGATAAAAAGAACATATTTTCCAGTCGTCTTCGCAGAACTATGAGTGCCAACCTCAGAAGCCTACTTCAAAAATGCATCGAAAAGAAATAGTAAGGAAAAGCTTGCCGTAATTTCCATTAGTACTCATTATTTAGTTAACCCTCAATAATGTCTATGACATGCTTAGTATAAACAACAAGGCGATAATCCTCTCCACAGGAAACTTCATTGTCTGTAGCTATGGGGAATAAAAGCCGAGGTAAAGTCTGCACGAGAATAAAGAGATCCTTAATTAACAAAGCTCCTGCCGGTTTCCGTAGCATTGTGACTGGGAGAACTGTCTATCTGGATAAGAGCACTTTGTGTCTAACAACATAACTATTCCTATTAACCAGGATGTTATTTATGTAGTGAGCTAAATTTCGCACGCATTCTGATTGGTTCAGACGCATAGATGACGTCACCATTAATAAAGTAACTTTTCCGTGAAACGCAAGGGATGTGTATTTGCATGCATTTCTTTGAACCAGGTAATCCAACAAAAGCCGGCGCCAAGCGGTTGACCGCTGCCCATTAGACCTGTTACCGCCGTCTGTTAGTCTGCGCAGGCTCTCTTCATTGGGTTTCGCCTTACAGCCACTTTTCACGAACGGCCGTTTATTACACCATCGGCAGCCGCTTGTAGAAAAAGTTCTTCACAATCTTGTTTGACCATGTCTTTAATTTTGATAGAAGAACACATGAAATGAACACCTTTTTGCTTCTTTTTGCATTTTACCTGAAACATCCGAAGAAAGGCCATTACAAAGGGAGTCAGCCACCCTCTAAGGTATTATTAACATCTCAGTTCAAGTAAAAAAGTAACGCACTTCAAAATCTATTTTTGATGATATCCAGTACAAGAGGAAACACAACTTTCCGTGAAGCCGTTATGTTTTCCTGATCATACACGAAACAGTTTTGGAAACGCTCGCTGCACAGCCTCAAATTAAGTTCTCCTGAAGTGGACAAATTTTCTGCGATTTTACTCTTAGCTTCATTGTGTGGCCCACAAACAGCAATCTGCCTACTGGGAGGATCATCAAGGCTTTCAACAAAATAGAGAAACATGATAATTAACACATCCAGAGATGAGGCCAGGCAGTATTCTGAAATGCTTTGATGGACTTGAGTTCTTGCGAAGAAATCATTCAGTGATAATCCACTGACAGAACTGATGCCAACACTCAGAGCTTTGTTTTCAACGGTTGGCAAAGCTTTGTAGTCTTTACGAAGAAGATCCAATGTGCAGAGAGCTGACACATCAAATTTGGCTGTTTGTTAAAAAAAAAAAAGTCTTGTTTTAGAGTGAAAAAAAAGAAGTTGAAAAATGAGAGAAACCCTATGTGACTCTAAGTCGCAAATTAAAATGACTTAACAAACATTAGAAGGCAGTTCAGAGGGAGAATTGGGCAGTTGATGAATTCCGGGAACTTTTATCAAACACCAAGGAAAAGCGGAAGCCTAGAAATTTGTGTGCGAGATTCTGGATCAAATGATCCTGGTTTAAGAACTGGCTGCTTCATCATGGGAAACGGAGCGGTCAAACGTTTGCGAACGTTGTAAGAACCTGATGGCATGCTTTCAGGCTTGGTCAGATCCCCTTACGCATACCTGAGGTCTGACAGATATGTTATCGTTAGCAAGATGCATTAATCTCACATTACTTCTCCT